CGACGACGACGACGCTCGGATTTCGCGAATATCTAGCTCTCGTAGCGCCTGGGCGCACCACACTGCCTCCGGAAACCACCGCAATGAAGTTACTAGGGCCGGTAATGGAATTTATGAGGGAGAGGATGATGGCCCGGCTAGCGGCCTTAATGTGCTTTTGGGAATATCCGAGAAGAGGAAAAGCAAGCATGGCCAGCGGGGAGGTCTTGGTGTTGGCGTTCTAAATGACACCGGCTCAGAAGAAGATGATCCTTACGAGATGGGTCCACGCATCTCATATAATCGAGTATTAGGCGGGGAAAAGACCAAGAAGAAGAAGAAGCTTGCAGCCACCAGTGTGTCTGCAAATCCCAGTCTTGGATCCACGCCGGTCTTCGTTTCCAGAGCCGCCCACACCACGAAAAGTCGCGGACACGGCAGGTGCGGGAATGGGAAGCGGCCTTTGAACGGTTTTGTTCCCGGACAACTCACAAACTCAAAAGCAACCGGGAACTCGACGGACGTGTATCCTCCTCCCTCGGTCCCCCCTGAGTGGGCACCGTCAAGGAGCAACTCATCCCTCACGTTCTCTACGAATACGTCGACGGCAGAGGCTGCCAAAGCAGCCAAGCTAGATCCCAACACTCGCGCGGCAATCCTAGGCGAATCGACTTTGCCAGGCAAGTCTGTGTTTGACTACATGTCGGCAGCCTCTCGAGAGCGGCTGGCGATTGCTTCAGGGAAGACAGACTTGCCTCCAGCGAAAGGCGAGGCTCCGATCGAAGCTAGGGGACCAGCCGAACAGCAGCTTCAGGAAAGAATTCGCACTCTACCGTGTCTGCAGAAAGATACCGCTCTCGCCGCCATAAGTCGCGGGGCAAGCACTGGAAGCCCCTATGCCAACGACGACGCAAAACGTGGACGATATCGCCTTTACTTACAGAGCGCCGCGGGCTTTGGTGGGCCTCCCATCAAGCCATCGGATATGACAGATGATGATTTTGTCAAGGAGATCGGGGAATTTTACGGATGTGCGCAGCTTTTCAAACCGATGACAGGTTTCATGGCCACAAGATTCACAACCGCCTCGGCAGGATCCAAGCAACTTGCTACCAGCGGCGGATCAGAATTGGCCACAGACGTTGGTGTTCGAAAAGCTACGGCAGCACCCGCACACCTAGGCGCAGCGGAAGAAGCCGCCAGAATGGGCATGTATGGGCGTATGACGAGGCTGATGGAAGACTTTTTCCCTGGCAGGTTGCTGTGTAAGCGCTTCAACGTCCAGCCACCAGCACACGTGCAACCAGACTTTGAGCCCGGAGTAGCGACAGCGACAGCGGCATCCATGATGCGGAGCCATTCACCTCTTCTTCCGCCTTTAGCAGACAAAATGGGCCTGTCACCGGGTATAAGACAGGATACAGCAGCCACCATTGATTTGGCATGTTCTCGGGAAGCAACGAAAACTAGACTTGACTTATCTAGGAGCGAGGACTCAACCAAAGAGGTGGCCCGGCCAAACGACAACGTCTTCAGGGCCATTTTTGGTGATAGCAGCGACGAAGAATAATAAAGTAAGTGCCAGTCAGTCCCATTCGATCGCACGTTGCAGCCTGTCACAACCATTAAAGACGTTCGCGCACGTCATTCCTATTTACATGCCCGGGATCGTGAGGTCATGCAGGGTCTATCGAGGCAGACCCCCTCTCATCTACGCTCAGTGAACCTTAAGCTCTACAAACTTGGCCTCGTTCTGGCTCGCCCAGAAGGAAGCGGATGGTATGGTATGGGCGGCTACAGGCAATGGTGTGCCGACCTGAGCGTGGCCTCCAATCTCGGACGGAAGTAATTAGGAAATGACAGGGTTTAAGAGACGGGGGTTGGTTGGAAGGAGCTAGCTCCAAACCGTAGGTAGTTAGTGCAGTCAATCCACTGTAGTACTCTGTACCTACAGTCACCAGAGCACGGTTCACTCTCAGATCCGTTCACGCTCATTTACGTCTTAACCGCCATCCTCCCATATTCTGGTCCAACCTCATCAAACCGCTCCGACAAGACCTACTCCCAATTCCCTGCTCGTCACCACCGCCAACTGTTCCTTTCCCACAGAGCATCTTTGCCTGCTTCAGAGCCAGACGATAGCAACAAGTCATCCTCCGCTTTGCGACTTGTCGGTTTCCTCTGATTCTTGCTGTCGTATCATCGCGACTATCGTCGGTAGCGCCTTGGTTCGATCTCCGAATAAACCCCCTCCCCCCGACGCCTGCCTTGCTGTGTCCTCGTGTCGCCCGTCGACAAACCTACCTTCTCGTCGAGCCACGACATTCATCGGCTGAAAGCAACCGCAGGCAGTGTAAAACGAGCGTTTGGCGACCACAAATCACTTCTTTCAGCGATTTGACTACCAAATATCTTCTCCAACCGCCACAACGTTGCCAGGTCCGCAAGACGACAGGAACGGGGAACCCGTGTCCGCCCGGCCTTCAGTTCCTCTCTCAGGAGGAAATTGCCTTTCTGTCGAAAAGAGGACCGCCGAAGAACGCCCACACTTGCAAGGACAAGCTGCTTCTGCTACCAACGTTCGAGTACTTTCGCCCCCTCCTCAGTATCCAACGTCCGAAGCCTCAACTTCGCATCCACCACCGTTCTCGTCTCTCTACGGCAATTTTGAGACTAGCGCAAGTACCCATCACGTATATTGCGATAGTAGCTCAGCTGTTCCCGCGGCTGGATCTTCTGTAGCAGCCCCAGCATACGCACCCACGTCTTCTGTCATCTCCGGTGACGAGACCGCCTCAAGCTCCTTTGATCAAGCCCTCACAGACACCAAGCGCGGACTCACTCAAGACAAGAAGGGCGCCGCTGCGAGCAAAGACGATACCGAGCCGCCGCCAGCTTACTCGGAGGGACCCAGTCCACTTCAATCCTTCACCTTTCTCATGGCTACCGCCGGTGGCGCCTCGAGTATCATTACTCAGGTACAACAAGGAGGCCCGCCCATCAATGCGATCGGAGGTAGGTCTCCTTCGTCGTGTGGCGGTCCGACTACCTACTGACAATGTGCTAGATGTCGGCGCCGACGAGACGATTTCCATGGACCTTCGGTAAGATCAGTGGTTGCTCTAAATGAGACACGAGGACGGCTAACAGTAGTCCTGCAGGGGTACCAGATTTGTTCTCTCGAGAGACGAACTATTGACGTTGCCTGAGTTCGTGCTCCTGTCTCTCTTTCCGAACGGGCTCTTCCCCGAAGGTCACATGGGTGGATTCGCCGAAGGCGACGCGGTTCAAGTAGACGTACGTACAAGCCAAAAGGCCATCCGACCCCATCACTGACACCGATTGCTAGTATGATCCAGCATCATTGCAATACATGCTGGATTTCTTCCGTACTGTGGCACAGTCGATACCGGCCGAGACGTCCCCAAGCGTCTCACAGGAAGAGAATGCATCCGCTGCTGACGCCATGGAATCAAGAGATGACTCTTCTAAACGTGCCGGCATCATTGTTTTGCGAGAAGACTTGGATTTCTACGTCATTCCGCCGCGGGCAGATATCACGCAATCAGAGATGTTAGAGGTGAAGCGAGCGGCTGGCAAAGCGCTACTTCAACAGAATGGCATATTCTCTGGCCTGAAAAGAAGTGACGAGCCGGGCACTACGGAGGCTCACCTTATCGAAATGTTGACAGCAGGGTAAGTTATGCAATTGACGAGGTGTTCATTCACGATGTATGCAGTTGAGGCTAATTGTCGATGCTAGCGGCTTCAACCACGATGACAGCTGGGGACACCGAGCTGGGGAACCAAACAAGGCAGTCGTCTGTAGCCTCGCCCTAGCGCGACTGAGAAGTGACATTCGGGGCAATGACATGGGCAGCAATGCTGTCGGTATGGCTCAGAAGTTGCTCTTGTTCTGGCGCAAGCCGGCGAGGCGCTGTTGGTGGGAAGGTGTTGAACTTGAAAATGTGGAAGGTGTGCCGGGAAAGCTCAAAGTCTGGATAAGGCGGGTCTGGACATTGGAGATGAGCGTAATTGGCCTCCGTTAAAAGACTGAGTTAAGGAGGTCAGATTCATGGTTTGGAGGACACGTAGGTATCTGGCGGTAGCGCACCTTGAAGTAACTAAAGGCAAAAATGCTGGGTTTCTTACATCTCATAATACGGGTCAGATATTCCTAATATTTATACTATTCGCCCCCTAATTTTGGCTTTGTCTATCGTGCTTTCTCAATCTTACCCTCCGCTTGGCCTTGCAGGTTTCACGGTTGTACACCAGGTAGAGCGCCCGGCTGTATAGCTTGTATAAAAGAAGCATATGCATTGAATGGAGGTTGTCCTTCAGTGCCGGCCGATACCACGCCTCAAGAATTTTATATTCCGCGGGTTACCAGCATGTATCATACCCGGCGGGCATGGCAAGCCCATAGGTGTAGCGCGGAAAGGCAATGGTGGACTGTTGATGATGTCCATGTGTGGGCCGTACGTGCTCCATACACGTAGTGGCAACCTCGTTGGATTTCGCCAGGACCACCACGTCCTTTTCTGGTGCTGGGACCAGTCCGGTTTCTCAACTATCATGCATTTCGGGGCTGTCTCTCGACCTAAGCCGCCCTCATCTAAAAGAGCGGTGGCGTCTCTCGCGAGACGACAGCCTAGGGGCAGGAACTCGGTTTGCCGATTGCCAATATGTCCTATGCTTAATTGGGGGGGGGGGGGGGGGGGGGGATTGCGTGCACTACGCAGGAAGCATAAATCGCTGGGGAAATTATGCGGCAGTATGAGATAAATTAAACATGCTGGCCGTGCCGTCGCTCTCGATATTTGTTGGCAAAGAAGTCCAGCGGCCAATGGCTGATGCCATAGAATAGGAGAAGCGAGCCGGCGGGGACGTTTGCGAACCAACCCCTGAAAACAAACGACATCGACATCGAGTAATAGAACATCATCAATGAGAGCTGACCTGTCTAAACCCTAATTTTCCGTGAACGCCTTGCTTGTGATGTCATGACAGCACTTGAATCACTCCTCGATGCTCTTGACACACTCCCATTCGCCTCTGAGATTCTCCTTCCACAAGGAAACCTTGTTGTCGCCTCCGCTTACGGCCAGAACGTTGCCGCTCAGCGACCAGCTCACACGCCAGACGGGAGCATCAAAGTTGAGGATTTTACAGCTCCATTGGCTTGCGCCGGTTGAATCAGAGGTCCAGATGCGGACAGTCTTATCCTGAGAAGCTGAGGCGATATAGGACTTTTGTAAAACAGTGGGTGACCATGCAACATCACGCACCCAATCGGAGTGGCCAACAAGGGGCTCCTGATCTGGCTTGTAAGACTGCGACGCAGAATCGAAGGTCCAGATTTTGAGCAGGTTGTCACAGCCGCCAGTGACAAAACGTCTGACGCCAGCAGAGCCGGGGCCTGGAGAACTGCTCACGATACTACCCGGTGCAGTTGCAGGGGCCCACGACACGGAGTTGACGCCCAATCCATGAGCAGGGAAGGTAACGTGGTCGAAGCTGTTGTCTCGGAACTCGAGCACACTGACATTGCCGTCGGACGAGGCACAGGCAAGAAGACATCCGGATTCATGTGGTGACCAGGAGACAATGTTGACGGAAGCCTTGTGCAGAGCGAAGTCGAAGATCTTTTGCCACTGGTTGTTCTGCTCTCTCCATATGAAGACCTTGCCGTCGTAACCCGCCGAAGCGATAATGTTTCCGTACTTGGGGTGAGCCCAGGAAACACACCAAACCGCGCCATCGTGTCTATTGCTGCGTCAGTCTGAAAGCTGATAGGCGTGTAATGAGACATATTCCTACCCCTTGAGGGTTTCTATAAGTCGTTGAGAATCACCCTCTATCTCGAATATCTTGATCGTTCGGTCGCTCGAGCAAGTCGCGAGCCGGCGACCATAGTAGTCGAGGACGGCGTCATGCTGCAAAAAGGATTTCGGTTAGCCTCAAGAGCTTGATGATGGAGTAGTAACCCGGGGGTATGGGAGTCGGGGAGCGGTTCCAGATCTACACCCGTCATGGAGTCCCTTATGGTGGCAGTCGGCGGCCATGGCGATTTCGCGTGGCTGGTGTAGGTGTCATTTGCACTTACAATCATATCATCGTGGCCAGAGTTTGAGATGACCTGAGCGGACGCCTGCAATGGGTGTCAGCAGGCAAGAAGCAACAACTGGGAGGTGAAGTAGGTGCAAAATCACCATGGCGGGGATGTTTATTTTAGGTTGCAAGCCGTTTTGATCGAAAGGTATGTGTCGTTTGAGTGAGGGCCAGTCAGACGGGGTTGGCAGAGAAAAGACAGTAACTACCGCCGTCGAAGTGTCGGTAGAAGTGTTGTCGCAGTCGTAGTAGATGTTGACGAGCCACCTAATCCAAGAGCTCTTCGGGTTTGGTCAAGCTGGCTGCAAAGTGGGCCTCCGCAAGCTGGCCTCGTCACTCTTGAGGAAAGGTACTTGCGGGAAGTACCCCACCGCCCTCTCTCAATCCGCCCGGGGGCGGAAGTGAGGGAAGCCCGATTAGGCAGGCGGTGAGATCCTGGGTCTTGCCACAGAACCACGTCTAATGACACCGTCGGTACGTACCGCGTTGTGCCGAGGTAGGCCGATTCAGAATGATGACCGTCATTCACAAGGAAAGGTTATATTCCTGTCACATCCCCTACCTACTTTTTACTGTCGACTCTCCGCAGACTTCAAGAACTCGCGGGCTTTTCTTTCACACTCTTGATTATTCCACTTCAGGCTTCGACGGTAGCAGCCTCGACTGCTCGTTCGCATTATACGCCGGCCGTCACATACACTCCAGCCGCTGAACCGCTGACCCAATCAGGCAGAAGAGAAGCAGAACGGCGGGTGGTTCTTAACCCTGGGCTCTTTACTCTACGGCCACCACTTGGACTTTTAATCCGCTCAGGCTTCTTGAGATTCCTTCTTGAGAATGGGTGACAACTCCTGTGGCGGCTCAACGCCGTTCAAGAGTCTCGTCGACCACGGCGGCCAAGACCGTAGCCTCCACCAGGATCGCTTTTCCACCACATTTGCTAGTCAACATGTATGTTTGTATCTACCTCTCCCTATCCAGAGCGCTTATAACACAACGAATAGGCCTTTAGGTCTAGTGGCTCGATGTCCTCGCCTCAAGCACAGCATGACTTCGGCGCATTTTTAACCACGAATGCGCCAAGCTCTCATTCACAGCCAATACCTAGTCCTTCCATAGCACCGCATCTCGTAAACCACTATGACGGACGCCTTTCGATGAACAACCCGGCCTCTACTTCCCGTTTGTCCAATGCTATACCCTCTGTGGACGAAAGCGTGGCCCGCCGCCCATACCACATACCAAATGCACCCCCAGAAGCAACAGGTTGGGCTCAGGACTTTGCAAGGTTCTCTCAAAACACTCCAGCCTCAAGCAGCTCGGCGCTCATTCGTCCAACCACACAAAATAACTCACTTCGCTCCGCAGACTTCGCGACAAACATGATGAAATTTCCCTCAAGGCCGTCTTTCTTTAGGCCTGTCGGAGATCCTGGGGCACTCGCGGAGTATGGGCCTACGAGCCAGGGCGCTGACGCTGTTCAGGCTGAATTTGACCTCGAAATGGACAGGTGGATGGCTGCTCATGGGGACAGCCGATTAGAAGATGTTGACGCCATCATGGAGGAGCTCGCGCGGCAGATGGAGCAAGAAGAAATAACGGCTGCCCAAAACGATGACAGAACCCTTGGCATCAGTCTTCGCGGTGAACAACTCATGCCAGCCACCGTGGATGGTGAGACATCCGTAGAGGAGAAAGACCACTCTTTTCAGGCTCCCTCTGGCACATCCCAACCCAACCAGCTCCCCGATGTGTCGCGGCTGGGCCTCGATGACATGGCCGATACAACGTCAGCCGATCTCGCTAGCCCGGGGCAATCAGAAATTTCCGAGGCCGCAAGACAAATTTTGGAATCGGTTCAACACGAGCAAGGTGACAAGTGGAAAAATTCGAGGTTCCTGCTACTGATGAGAGACTTCCGAGATGGTTACAAGGATATCATCGACAACGAAATACTGGAAACACATGGCGATGACGGTCACTTGTTGGAAAAGGTCAAATTGACCGAGGCATGACTAGGCAGCAGTGTGCAGGTGCAGGCAGTCAAACCGTATATCTTGGATGACAAGCCAACCTCATTGCAGAGTTCGCCCCGCGAGTTGACGGATTGGGCAGAGGATGCCATCGCGAGATGGCATGTTGTGTCCCCAATTGCATCACCTACGTGGGCCAGGCCATGATGGATGTCAGCATTGAGGGGTTGAACCGATCTCGGATTTTTGTAGGCCCGAGCTTTTTACCGTCGGCACCCGACCTCACCGGCTTATGGAATATCCCGAGCATGATGTGGCTTGTTGATGCCGCGTATGGAGGGAGACGTTCCGGCGAGACAATCATTATTGCGACAGTGTTAGCATGGTTTATAAATACATCATATGGTGCGAGACAGGCCGTATCGACCTTCAATTCTGCGTATCCAGCGGATTGATCTCAGGCAAGTCTTCCACCTTTTGAGCCCAGCCACGTCCAATGGCAGTCTTTTTGGGAGTGCGTGTGCGGATCGGTGAGGTCTGGAAATTGGCGAACAACGTCGGAGTTAATCAATATGCTAGACATAGTGGGCATGCATATATGGAGCATGTGCAAGATGAGATTGATCATTTAAAACACTACGAGACGAGAGACTGCGGGGAGAGTTGGGGATCATGAGTCACAGGCGTGAAACAGGGTGAACTGACAGGGGCGCTGGTTATCACTGAATCAATTGGTCTAAATGATTGGCTGATTGGCAACGCTGTATCCAGAGTCTATGTGTAGCGAGGAATACCGGGCCTGCCAGATATGATGTATGTTTGTCTGTTTTCGCGGAGACCTGGCGAAAACGTAAGCTTGTTCATCGATAAAATAAGTACGAGAATTGCCTGATACAGAGGTGTATGCGTACACTGCATACGGTTTGAAGTATCTAGTAAGACTTCGTCAGCAGGAGCAAAGTGAGCAAATAAAGGAAGATATACATGTTGAATCTACTGTTGAGGAGTGCGCTGTGCAGTGGATTCGTACCCGGCTCATCCGTGTCGCTGGTACCTACTATGCAGTACACTATGTGTTTCCCGTTTGGGCTGGCCGAAGATGGCGCCAATAAAAGTTGTCGGTATCTCTCAGGACAGCCAGTTAGCGAACTGAGAAAGTACTGTACTTTACCTTAGCGTGTCTTTTTTCTTGTGGCCGGCGTTGGTGTGAGGTGGGCAGTGCGTGGAAACTAGGCAGGCGAGAGACGTCCGGCATCCAGGCTGATTTCTAAGGTATGGTGGTGGGTGGGTAGCCCGTTTGCCTTGTTGACACGCACTGTACTGTGCCCGTTCACTGCTTCCGTCCTAGACCATATATGGTTTGGCGCCGCAGAGTGTGAGTCACACATCAGCCCGGACCATGGATTACACAGAGGGCGGATCAAGACCTGTGTGGAAGGGTCTGCACGGTACATCCAATAGCAGTATTCCAAGGCTGATGGTCGACCAGCTTGTGGGCCATTTTGCGAAGTTTTGGGCGTCCCGGGTAGGCATGGATACCTCCTAGCTCTGTACTTTCTACCGGCCATTAATGCCGTTTCATTCCAGGGCTTTGCCAACCGCGCGCCCTTCGGCTTGCGCTTGTCGTTTTGGCCTGCGGTTGCCTGAAAGGCTACAAAAGCTAGTTGCTCGCCCACAAAACGCATATGGACGTTTCCTCCTTCCTCTTCTCATCCTCACCATTTTCCCCCAATACACAGCAATTCATTATCGCCATAAAGGCTTCTCAAGATGCGTTAAATCAACCGCCCTCTTCGGCTGCTCCCCACAACCAGACAAAATTCAGTCTCAACACTTCGGCAACATTCTCCCCACTCAGCCTTCACCCTCAGCTCTACCTTCCCAGGTCGATCTGAACTTCAGCCCAGCTACACAAAGCTTCAGCTCAGGTTCCTCCTCTTCCACCATTTACTCGCAAGACTTTCCAGTCTTCACCACGGATTCCCAATCACCATGGCTTCCCTCCAGTTCTCCCAGCCTGCCGGCACAACCCGCGCAACAACAGTTCAGCCCACCCGTCGAGCAACCACAACAGGACTTCGTCTTGTTCGATCAGCCTCTCCTACGGCCCAGTCAACCTAGAAACCACACTCACCAGTCTAGTGCTTCTGAAATACAGCACCGTCGTCACTCGTCGCATCAGCTCCGTCATCATCAGCAACGCGGACGCCAATCTCTCGTCCGTCACAACCAACGACTAGCCCAGATCCAGGCAGCAGACCACTCGAGGTCTCCGTCATCGCTGGTTGCTTCTCGATTCACCTCTCCCGCACACCAAGCCCAGTTCTACGCTGCTTCAGCTCCGTCGTCTTCACTTGCTCTTCAGCAGCAATCCCGTCGTCATCTGCCCCCGGTCCCGCTTTTCTCTCAGAGTACTGGTCAGACTTCCCAGAGATCGTCTAAGATGGAACTGCAAGGTATTATGCAATTGCCTCCGTTGACGTATCCGCCTTGCTTACGATTGTCAGAACTCGATCTGGACGACTTCACCGGGTTCGAGGGTGGTGCCTCTACCACATACTCGTCCCCAGCTATGCCATCTGTCTTCGATCTCGGCGGTAGTGCATCTGGGGCGAGCAACCTGGGCACTGTTTCTCCACAAGACCTGCTAATCCAGGAGCCGTTCATGTCGGCTCCTAATTCGACGGCATTCACTGCGTTAACCTCTCCGTCCGTCTATAACGAGTCGCCAGACTTCAACGACGGTTACGACGTGTCTCCCAATTTTGGCTCTGGTGATTTCGAAACCGGTTCAACTGATCCTTGGTTCCCTCTGTTTCCCCAGGAGCCCGCTCTGGCCAAAGACACTCAACAGAATGTTGGGCAGTCTCCTGCTGTTGCGGAAGAAGACCTTGAAGTCGTTGAGTTTACTTCAGCCTCCACGCTGCGGAAGTCGAGTGATTCTCCACCGTCCGGCTCCGGCCGCCACTCTTCTGTGGCTGGTGTGAATTCTCGAAAGCGGGACAAACCTTTGCCTCCCATCGTCGTGGAGGATCCTAGCGACGTCGTCGCTATGAAGCGGGCACGGAACACTCTTGCGGCTCGTAAGTCTCGTGAGCGTAAGGCTCAACGGTTTGAGGACTTGGAGGAGAAGATTCGAAAGTTGGAAGCGGAGCGTGATCACTGGAAGAATGTGGCTCTTGGCCGAACATGATCTCGCTGCCACTTGGGGTTCTTTTTTCTGCATGGACTGGAGGGAGTCTGAAATCAGTCACCTCGCGCGTCAATTCTGCATTGCTTTTCTTTAGGTTTCTACTTCGTGTGTGGTACAGTGCTCCAGGTATGGGTAGTCAGCTAGACGTCACACATTGTCCACTCAATCGCAATTGTCTAAGGCCATTGTCAGCTTGCGTTTCTACTGCGTGAGCATAGTTTCCTCCTCTTCTTTCCCTAAACCTCTAGCTATTTATACAGAGAGGTTAACTATACTAAGTAAGTTAAAATCACTATACCTCTTTATAAAATATAGCTTTATAGCCTCTAGCTATTTATTCTTTATAGCTTCTAGCAATTTACTATAAGTATTATTATAAGTGCTTATATAGTATTTCTAGAATTATGCTTATATATAGAGTGAATTTTACTATAGTCTTTTTATAAGCTATATTATAACTATAAACTTATAGGTTTTATGTTAGCAGTCTAGTTAACCTATATAAGTAGGTATTATAGTTCACTCTATACTTTTTTTTTATAGTACTAAAACCTAATAGTAGCACTTTAACCTATACCTAATCTTAATAAAGTAAATAAATTAATCTTAGTATAACTAGTTATTAACGCTTAGCTTAACTTATCCTTAGCTTATAAGCGTATTATTTATAATATTATAAAAGCATTATTCTATAACGTAGAACGTAGTTAGAGCTTAGTAATAGCTTAAACCTATACTTAAGGGTATAAACTTAATAGTATAACTCTTTATATAGCTAAAAGGGTTCTTATAGCTATAATATAAGAATTTAACTATTTAAATAAAGCTTTAAGCTTATTCTTTATATCCTCTTATATATATAATAACTATAATATCTTTTTCTTTTATTATACCTATATATAAACTAAATAAAGTTATTTTAAATAACTTAATTTATAAAACTAAAGTAAATAAAATTAAAAACTTTAAGTATAATAATTTTCTATATATTAATAAAGAGATTTTACTTAAATTTATTTAAAAATACTTATTTAAAATAGCTAATAAGTATAATATATTAGAGTTATATAGCTTTTAGATTAATATAGATATAGTTAAAGCTATTAATAATAATCTTAATACTTATAAATACCTTATAAGCTTCTTTAATATAGCTAAAATAGCTTAAATACTTAAATATTAGTAAGTTAAGAAAGGTGAATATAGTAAGAGTATAGCTAATAGTAGTAAGGCTATTAAGACTATATAGTAAGGCAGAAGATATTATTTAAATAGCATAATAATATAGAGGCTTTAAGGCTTTTATACTTAATAGAGCTTATAGTATAGATATTTAAATAGTAAGAGAAAGAGAGATAGAGGAGACTAATAGAGATAGAGATAGCTAGAGGAAGATAGTTAAGGCTTATTATAATAGTTAAAGTTAGAAGAGTATAGAGGTAAAAATAATATCTAAGTAGTTATATAACCTAAAGGTTATTAATAGAAAGTAAAGGGATTAGTTTAGCTTTTATAATTAATACTAGTTAAATCTTATAATATAAGGCTAGCAGCCTAACTTATAGGTTTTATTATTATATAAGTAATAATTAAAAGAGATTAAAAAGTTAAAAAAAAAGTGTATCTTTTTTAAGAGGATATTATACTCTTAATATACTTTATATCTTAAGAGTATTAGATTTATATAATATAATAATTTATTTTATAATATATCTTTTACTTTATATAGCTTTTTTAGTAAACTTTACTAAAAAAGTAAGTTATATAACTAATATAAGCTTTATAAGTTTATAATTTAAAAATACTTAAAGAAGTAACTTCTTCTTAAATAATATATACTTTTTTATAAATTCTTTAGTTTTTTCTAATTATTAATTTTTAATAATTATAAGTTTAACTTATTAGAAGGTTAATTTTACTTTTTTATTATTATGAGAATATTTTATAAAATAAATAAGTTTCTTGTTTTTTTATATAATTATTAATTATATTTTATAAAATATTTTATTTATTTAGAAAAACTTTTAAAATAAACTTTTATATTAAAAATATATAAATTAAATTAAGATTTTATAAGAATTAACTTATTTAATTTAATTATTTAAAAGTTATTTATATTATATATAATATTTAAAATTTAATTAATTTTAATCAATTTAATATATTTATTTTTAGAAATACTAATAAAATAAATATTTTATTTCTTAAAAATTATATTAATTAAATTAATAAAAAGAAATAAAATATTTATAAAAGGGTTTTATAAAAGAAATAAAATAAACATAATTTTAAAAAAAATAATAAGTAAACTTTTAATAAAAAAAAATAATTTCTAAATTTTAGATATTTTTATATTTATATATATTTAGCTTTTTTTTAACTTAATTAAATTAATATTTATTATTCTTAAAGATTTTATTTTTTAAATAAATATAAAATATTTATTAAATAATAATCTATTTTAAAAGTTAATATTTAAAATAATTAAAAAAACTAAAAATTAACTTTTAAAATATATTTAAAATTAGTTTTTTATAAATATTAATAAGAAATTTATAAATATTATTAAGTTTTAAATTTTAAATAAACTTAATAAGAATTATATTTTATTTAAGGCCTCTAGCTGTTCACTATAATTTTTACTTATTTAGAGCAATAGACCTCCTAACTCTACGCCTCCTAATAATATATATAGCTTTTAGTTATATAATCCCTAATAACTTCCTAAGTCTCTAACTATCTCTCCTAACCTTAGCTACATTTATATATATATATTAATAACTTCACTATCTTTAACTTCACTTTAGTAATAATATAGTTTATAATTACTTAATTACTTAATTACTAACTATTAAACTATTAACTTATCCTTTTTCTTATATATTACTTATATTACTATTAAATATTATCCTTATTACTACTTTATTATCTACTATTAGTCTTCTTATTTAATTAAGCTAGCTAACACCTTTAATATATCTTATATTATTTATAAATAAAGTAGTATATTAAGCTAATAAGCTTAATAGTAGCTATATTATTATTAGTAATACTTTCTCTATTAGTTAGTATAAGGCATACTTAATAATATTTATATATTATTTCCCTAAGAAGTATTTAATATTAGCTTACTACTTAGAAGCTTTATTAAGCTTATATTAAGGCTTAAGCTATATCTACCTTAGTATTATAGAAGGTTTATATAAAGAAGAGCTACTCTTTAGGATAGCTAGAGATATATATAGCTTCTATACTAAAGCTATTAAGTCTTATTATCTCTATAATCGCTTAGTAAATAAGATCCCTTAGAGGGGTATTACTAAAAGCTCTATTTAATATAACTTTAATAAAGTACTTCTAATTAAGGATAGAGTATATACTAAACTTAAGGGTTTTATTTAATATATAGATATTATTCTATATAGTAATATCCCTAGCTATATTCTTAAAGAAAGGTATACTTTATATAAAGTTAGTATTCTTATATTCCTTATATAGTATAGATATTATAAAGATATTTTAGGATTTATTATAAGTTATAAGGATAGGTTATTAATATAGGTTTAAAGGTAAAGAAGAAGAAGAAGGAAGGGTATAAAGCTCTATATAGTAGTAAAGCTTTTTATACTTCTAGCTGTGAGAACCTCTTATAATAACCTCTCTAGTTAAGGAGTTATCTCTATTTAGTAGTATTACTAAGCTATAAGAGCCTTAATAACCCCTTTAGCCTTAATATAATTAGCTTTATTATATATAGCGCTACTAGCCTCACGCTATATAGCTAATGCTATTACTATTCTACTAATCTATTTAGCTAAGGCGTATATTTAACTTTATAATATTTAGAAGGTTTATTTACTAATAGGAATATATAAGGTTTCTATACTATTTTCCTTAATTAGTAGAAGGTATAAGTTAAAATGCCTATATAGTGTTTCTAGAATTATGCCTATATATAAAGTGAGTTTTGCTATAGTCTTTTTATAGGGGGGCTACGTTATAACTATAAACTTAATATTTTATTTAAATTTATTTTAAAATATAAAATATTACTTCTATTTAAGTTATATATTTTAAATACTTTTAAATTAAATAATAATATAAACTTTATTTTAGTATTTATATATTTATAAAAGTTTATAAAGTAAATTATTTTAAATAATAAAAATAATAAATTATTTTCTCTTTAAATAATAATTAAATTATTTAAAAATACATTTATAAAAAATAATTTAGCTATTTAAATTATTATAAAAAAATTATTTTAATATTTTTTTATAAAACTATTTATTTTAATATTAATTTAAAAGATTTTTATAATTAATAAAATAATAATTATTATTAAATATTAACTTATAAGATTTTAAATATTTAAAAAGTTTTTATAACTTAATATTTTTTATAAGTTATTAAAATTTAAATTACTTTTAATTAAATATAATGTTAAGGAAGTTTCAAGCCTACCTAGTAGGGGTTTTCATAATAAGAGAAAAAGCAGTAAAAGCACTTCAGTTAGTGCTTAGTTTAGTAGCTTCGTAATATATATACTTAAGGGTCTAGAATAACTACTTATACTAACCTCAACTTACCTATTATAGCTGTTAGCTTTATTAATAATAGCTTTATTACTAGTAAGGTTAATAGCTTCACCTATATAACTTATACTACGTAGTAATAGCTTTATAAGGTCTTTAGCTATAGAAAAGCTTATCTTAGCTATATACTTAAGATATTACTACTTACTAAGCCTTAAGCCTATCCCTTATCCTATAAGTAAACTACTTAAATTCCTTTATAATATATTCTATCCTACCTAATCTATAAAGCTTTATACTATAAGGCTTTACTTAAAGCACGCCCTAAGATATAATAATTAATACTAACTATAAAGCTAAGCTTATTATAATTAGTAAGTTAACACCCTTCTACTTATAAAGCTCTAAGAATAAAATAACTATAGCTAAGTTATATTTAATAGTTCTAAAGGCTAACGTTAGTAG